ATAAATGTTTATAAACAATGTTACTTTGTATCTCTCTATCTTATTTTTTGACACCTTCTACAGCTTGTGTTTTTACAAAGCAACTCCCCGCTGTCATTTTTACAGGAATTGCCAGCAAATGTGAGGAAGGAGCAACAGTAAGACAGAAGGAGAGGCTATACAACACACGCACTGTGTACTTCGAAAACGTTTTTTGGGCTGTGTAGCTGTAGTTTGTATTATAACTGTGTATTTAGCTTTTCGGCGGAGGACGACATTAATAGCTTACTTTTACAAAAAGAAATCCTGAGATATAAAAATATCTAAAGAAAGCTTCTTCTAACTCACTTTCCTGGTAGCACAAGCGGCTGGAACTTCCATTGGTCCTCCTCAGCGTCATAGTACAGGCGGTTCATGATCTTGTTCTTTTCCTCCGGAGGAATAAAGTTTTCGATGATCAAATACCTGGATGAAACATGATAAGAAGAACCCAACATTCACTCCGCTGTTCTGAGGACCTTTTGCCGGAATGAGGAACACGTTTTGGCACTCACTTGTATTTCAGCTCTCGGGTCTGCTCATTTTGTGCTTGTTCAAGGTCTTGTCTCACTCGTACATATTCGTCATGATGGTCTTGGATCTCCCCCTTCACCGCCTGCAGTTTGGCATAGAGCTGAAAGCAGAATAAGAGCCAAGTATATGTGGGAGCCCGTGTCAGTCAGTCAGGGTTGGGCAGAGGGCAAGCCGCTAAACCGACTATGAGAGCTACAGACACGCCGTGCTGTGTCTTGGCATCCTGTACCACCAAAGAGGAAGCCCAGCATGCAAACTGATCACACTAGGATGAATCTGCTTCCAGAATGAAAAATGGCAGAAGGGGAGCGACATTAGATTCACTTAAAAGGATGAATATACCTTAAAATTAGAAAACGTACCCCCTTGCCATAGGCCTTTTTGCCACGGAGGGTTTGGTGGTTGAGTGATGCTGCCCCACCTCAGTGTCCCAACCAGCTCCTGGCAACCAAAGACATCACTGGTGACTGGTCGGGACGCCGGCCAGAGGATTCCCGGTTGTTGAGTGCTGAGCGGGGAGATGTGTAAAGCCCTTACAGGAGGTGGGCAGCAGGCACACTGCAAATATTGTCAAGCAGAGTGGACATGCTGCTTTGCTCGGCTTGCCACCCCCCCCACGTGACCCAAAGAGATGCTGCCTGAGGCAGGCCGCCTCATTAAAGGATTGGCCCTGGCTGGGATTTCAGTATAAGCATGTGCCAAGGCTCTTGCTTTACTGACTACATTCTCCACGAGGACAGGGAGGTTGCTGGCTCTATATCAGGCAAGTCATTTAATATTATCACCTGTCCTGATTCAGACCTCATTTTCCTGTTACGTGTTCATCTCTTTAGCTGTTTTTGTAGCACCGAAGTATAATAAGGCCGTGCTCACCCACATGCCCTAACAACCTCTTGTTAATGAAGAACAACATTTCCTGTAGTAATAATAAAATGAAACAAATAACAATAATGGCCGGAAAAGGAGAGAAGACAATAAAAATTGTTGTGTTTCCTCAAATTGGTGCTCAGCTGAGAAATGCCCCCTTACATTGGTGGTCAATAAAATGCATTCTTACATAAATGGTCATTGGACAAAGGAGCTCCTTTACTGGTGGTCAGTGCAAAAAGGGCTCCAGTACCCATGGTGGTCAATGAGAACATCGGTGGCCATAGGGAAGATTGGTTACTTATCAGAAACTGCTCATTGCTCAAGAAACCCCTTGCTAACTCTGGAGGAATCCAGGTTAAGAAAGGCTCCACCATATGGTCAACAGAACCCTTTCATGGCCAGAGGACATTGATCCCTGGATCCTTCGATCACATTTTACAGTGAGAATGTGCTAAAAAAAAAAGTAGCCTGTGAAGCTTGTTTAAAGGAGAACTATGAGGGGGGGGGGGGGGGG